TTATAGTTGATGGGCAAAAGTCAAAACTTGTGGGTGATAAATGTCACTCCGCTGGAATACCATTTTTGTAACTGAGTGTCAAATAAGGTAGACAGTGCATTATGTTACAACATTATGTGCAAAGTGCTGGCTTTGAAGCAGATTTTTTAACTTTTTTATGAACAAAGCGTTTTATTTCAGGCGTTGATTAATGCTGTGTTATTTATATGTGTCTCGACAGCAACTGGTAAGTATCATACAAACGGAGTAAAGATAAAATTGCATACCTCCAAGCCAGAATGTAGTCGCCATGGATGCCTAAATGGATTCGAAATAAGCTGCAAAATTCACTACACCTTTTGTTGGCGGTGCTTGATCCTCGTATCGTGTACCCCAGGAATGCCATGGGCCGGCTGAGCATTGAGTTGGCGTTGCAATCATGTATGTATATGTTACGGCTAAAGATAGGTGTGAACATAAACTTAAGATTAGCCGGCTAAACTTAAGTTTAGCTTCGAGAAGCAGCTAAAGTTCGATAACATGTTAATTTGCGTCATGATATTCCATCTTTAGCCGGCTAATGTGCACATTAGCCAAAACGATACGGTTAAAAATGTATTCGATGGGCGCGCCAGGCCGGCGGAGGGCTTGAGGGGGCGGTGGGGAGACAACGAATAATATTATTTAACAATTGTGACTAGATATTGTTTTAAGTAACTAACACTGAAGAAGTTTTATTTTGTTTTATTTTGTAATTTTAAATACCTACCTACAGAAAATTCTGTAATGACCAAATGGTTCCTTATTATTTTATTTTAATGATTAGGTACCTAGATATTGTTTTAAGTAATTAACATTTTGTTATTGTAATAATTGTAATTTTGAATACCTACATAGGTACATGTATGTGTAATGAAAGTGATTATTTTTTAATAAAGTTTTCGTGTCAAAATAGTAAACATTATTACATTGTTTCCTTTTCCATTTCCTTCTACATTTTTAGCCAAGGGCTTGCGGTTACACTTAAGTTTAGCTGGCTAAAGATAGAAGAAACTAACATTAGCACCTCGTCGAAGATAAACTTAAGTTTAGCCGGCTAATCTTAAGTTTATGTTCACATCTATCTTTAGCCGTAACATATATACTATCTAATGATCATGCATTAGTCTAACAAAATGAGTTCTACGCTGAGAGAATAAGGTGGTAAGTTCGGTATACCTCTCGATGGCGGCGTATAGTCCTATCCTCGTATCTGGTGCCTCTGGTAGAAGCCATGGGCCAACTGAGCATTGAGTTGGCGTTGCAATTATATCTAATGTCCAATAGTCATGCACTGATCTATCAACCTAAATTCTACTTCAAAGGGATAAGGTGCAAACTTCTCTGTACCTCTCTATGGAGGCGTATGGTCCTATCCTCGTATCTGATGCCTCCAGTAGAAGCCATGGGCCGGCTGAGCGTGAAGTTGGCATTAACAACCGTGTGATTATGCACTATTCTACCAAAATGGACTCTACTTTAAGGGAATAAAGTGCAAACTTCTCTGCACCTCTCTATGGCGGCGTATGGTCCTATCCTCGTATCTGGTGCCCCCAGTAGAAGCCATGGGCCGGCTGAGCGTGGAGTTGGCATTAACAACCGTGTGATCATGCACTATTCTACCAAAATGGACTCTACTTTAAGGGAATAAAGTGCAAACTTCTCTGTACCTCTCTTTGGCGGCGTATGGTCCTATCCTCGTATCGGGTGACCCCAGTAGAAGCCATGGGCTGGCTGAGCGTTGAGTTGGCGTTGCAATTATATCTAATGTCCAATAATCATGCACTGATCTACCAAACTAAGTTCTACTTCAAATGGATAAGGTGCAAAGTTCGATATACCTCTCGATGGCGGCCTATGGTCCTATCCTCGTATCTGGTGCCTCCAGTAGAAGCCATAAAAGCCAGCTGAGTGAGTATGTCTAAAGGATCATGCACTGGTCTACTAATTACTGCTACCACAATGGGTTCTAAGTCAAGGAAATAAGGTGCAAACCTCTCTATGGCGGCGTATGGTTCTATCCTCGTATCTGGTGTCTCTAGTAGAAGCCATGGGCCGACTGAGCGTGGAGTTGGCGTTGTAATTATATCTAATGTCCAATAGTCATGCACTGATCTACCAAACTAAGTTCTACTCCAAGGAAATGAGGTACAAACCTCTCTATGGCGGCGTATGGTCCTATCCTCGTATCGGGTGCCTCCAGTAGAAGCCATGGGCCGGCTGAGCGTGGAGTTGGCGTTGCTTGGCGAGTGGGGGGCTCCACCTCCCGACATGGGCGTGCCCTGACCTGCTCCCACACCCGTATCTACGTTCACCAATGCGCAAGGTGCGGTATACACGACTGTTTATTTGTGAGACAGTATGAGGTGGCGATTGTGTATACGGAGGCTTGGAATGCGAAAGCGTTTTGTAATCTTGTGGTGAATGAACGTAATAAATGAGCGTTTTCATTTTGGTGCCGAAACAAAATAGACCCCAAATTGCTACTTTGTTTGATTTATATAAAGCCACCGATCATGTTTTTGTCATCAAAATGGAGCTTTGCAATGAGATCTATTTAATATTATGGCATGAAATATTTATGTAACGATTTAATAGATTCAAAAGCATCGCATAATGTAAGGCATTGTGTGCTAATGATCAATTTAATATGGTTATATCTCAAATAGCAGCTTCGTGGTCGAGTTTTCCGTAAGTAGTGTATTTTTAAGTACATATTAATAATGTTAATATGAAGAATTAGTATATTGAGACAAATCCACAGCATCACAAAACGTTCACCGACAGTGTACGATTCCATGCCCCAAATGCAAATAACAAATGAACAGTCGTTTAGAAATGAACGTTATGTTTGTATCGCTATGAAAATTGCAAATCTTTTAACTTAAATTGTTTCAGAACAAAATTACAGATCATAGCAATAAAAACACAGATGTTAAAGCTATATTGACATTATGAACACAGTGAAGTTATTATTATTCATGACAACATTATTAAACCAATTCTGACGGGTCTAAAAATAAAAAATATCTACTAAAAATACTGGAACTTGATCTGTAGTTCTTAAAATGTGGACTGTATTTTAAGACCAATAGAATTGATTTTAATATTTAAGATGCGTTGCGCAGTTAGCCATGTTATTAGTGACCAGCGTAGTCGCAACTAGACTGTGGTAGTCTGTACACACTTGACGAACATTTACACACATTTGTATAGACAGAGAGATTATGTACATTGTTCGCAATTTATATAAAGCTTTATGTATAGTAGAACCTTGCCCGTATGATTGCAGAATTGGTGCAAATTGAAGGCGTGTAAAATTACTTCTTTCACGGGTGGTGAATTACTTATTAGCTCAATCAAGAATTACTAACATACTCAAAGGACTGCTGGGAATCGAACCCGTAGATTAGGCCCGGTTTCCTGATGGAGCGGGGCGGAGAATGTTTTGAATAAACATATTTTATTCTGTCTTATGAAAACATTAGTTTCAGTAGATATAGGTAGGGCCTTATGAAAACATTAGCAGTAAGCCGATCCGAAAAAGCTTTTTAGCTTAGATCTTAGCCTTTGGAACTGCAGTTTGGTTTATTTTCAATTTTTGCGCATAATAAGCCTAGGCTCAGACCACCGACTTTTAGTTAGCCGATAGTTTAGTCGCTAACGAGTATGAACATGTATGAAAGTGCCCACATTACATCGACCGATTCTTCATACAAATTAAAATCGGGCCCAACCATTGGCCGACTAAAAGTCTGTAATCTGCGGAGAGTCTAATGCCCGTTTTCACCATCAATACCTAATTTTTAAGTGACCCTTATGAAAACAAAATTCCTGTTATGTGGTACCATAGGAGTCACTTAACTTAGGGATTGATGGTGAAAGCGGACTTAAGTGTTCATCATCATCATCATCATCAACAACAGACCCCTGCAGTCCTATGAACCTCCTCTACTATAGTGAAGGGTTTTGCCATAATCCCCACACTTGGCAGGCAGGTTGAAAATCGCAGTTTAAAAGATTGATGTGTTTCAGAGAGCGCTGCCGCCCGTTCTGTTTGATTTGTAGTTCCTAAGTCGCCTCTTACGACACCCGTGGGAAGAGTAGGGGTTGGTGACAAATGTATTCTACTTTGCCGTCAACACAGCGCCGTTCTGTTTGATAGTCGCCTCTTACGACTTAAGTGTTGTGTAGTTTTAGTTTCGTGTGTTATGTGCATACGTACCGCTGGCGTTGGAAGATCCGCGCGGCACGGCGGCGCGCGCCGGCGTGAGAAAGTCGGGCTCGCGCCAGCCGTGCTTGCGGTACACCTCGCGGAGTTCCGCGTGAGACCACATCGTCATCAGCACTTGCCCTGTGAACGGACGATTGTTGATTTAATACTAGAAATGAGGCCTCTTGCGTCGGGCTTTGTAGTGGCCAATTGGACAGAGGTAACTGAAATTTACTTCAGAATAGCGTACGTTAATAAGGTACTGGAGCCAAACTGTAATTCCATGCCTTATTAAGTTCCTGACTCCAGCACAGAGCGTCGGACTCGCCGCTTTCGCCTCTGACGGCAGTTCTGCAGGCTATGTCGTTACATTGGTTCTCTTGCGAATCGCCTCATTTCTGATTTGATCACGTATAAAGAACAACGTGATAAATTCCTTCCATCTAAGTGTCATTTGTTCATAGTCAAATTAAATCAAAAACGTTTATTTGTGGAACATAGGCAACAATATGTAGCAATCGGTAGTCGGTAAAACAATTTCTGTCCCGCTTTGCAACGTAGAGAAAACAATATTATATTTCGAGCTCATCCTATACTCATGAGACCGAATTTTTTGCGGGTTCCATGACCGTTAGCTATCTCCGAGAATTCTCAACCTTCCTTCACGCTGTAGATCCAGGCTATAAAGGTGTTGCAGTGGTGGGAAAGAGATGATAGGGATTAGTCTCGTATGTAGACGACTAACCTGCAAACTTGAGCACGCGAGGCGTGTGACGGTGGCGCTGCTTAGTAAGATTGAGCAGGCGCTCGACGCCACCTGCCTCCAGTAAAGAACGGGAGAACTCGCCGCTCTTGATGTGACGTCAGTGAGATAGCTACTGACCTCTTGCTGTGACGTCAGTGAGATAGTTACTGACCTGCAAACTTGAGAACACGCGGCGTATGACGGTGACGCTGCTTGGTGAGATTGAGCAGGCGCTCGACGCCGCCCGCCTCCAGTAAAGAACGCGAGAACTCCCCACTATTGCTGTGACGTCAGTGAGATAGCTACCTGTACCTCTTGCTGTGACGTAAGTGAGATAGCTAGGTACTGACCTGCAAACTTGAGAACACGCGGCGTATGACGGTGACGCTGCTTAGTAAGGTTGACCAGGCGCTCGACACCACCTGCCTCCAGTAAAGAACGCGAGAACTCGTCACTCTTGCTGTGACGTCAGTGAGTTAGCTACTGACCTCTTGCTGTGACGTCAGTGAGATAGCTACTGACCTGCAAACTTGAGAACACGCGGCGTATGACGGTGGCGCTGCTTGGTAAGATTGAGCAGGCGCTCGACACCACCTGCCTCCAGTAAAGAACGCGAGAACTCGTCACTCTTGCTGTGACGTCAGTGAGATGGCTACTGACCTGCAAACTTGAGAACGCGTGGCGTATGACGGTGGCGCTGCTTGGTAAGATTGAGCAGGCGCTCGACGCCACCT